ACTGTGAGAGGACCCTGGGAGACAGGCCAAGGGTTAGGAGAGAGTGGGGAGCCAGCACAATAGGCATTGTGGGCCATTAAATGGCAACAGGATATCCAGGGGATCTGTGTTCCTGGAGGTGAGAAGGGAAGGGGCTCTGAGAAGAGTAAATAGTCTCCGAGAAGAGGGAAAGGGCTGAGCATATAGTTCATTTGTCTAGCATAAATGAGGTCTTAGGCTCAATCCCTAGTGCTAAAGAAGGAGGGGCACGTGTGTGTATGTGTGAGTACATATGCACACATTCATCACTTTTGTCATCATTGTGACAAAGTCCCTGACTAAAGCAATATTAGGGAAAGAAGAGTTGGGGGAGGATTCGTGCAGGGCCGTCATGGTAACGTTCAAAGAGATAGGAACTCCTGGCACTGGGCAGACTAGGAAGCAGAGCGAAAGAAACTTAGCCTGGGACTAAGACAGACTGAGACACATAACCCAGTGCATACCATGTGTTAGCATATACTCATACACTTGTATTCTTAGCCTGGTGTGGTAGCTGTGTTGCTAATCCCAGCACTGGGGAGACGGGAGGCAGGAAGGCTGCCACAAGTTCGAGGACAGGCTGGGTTACATAGCAAGACCTTGTCTCAATCCCCATCCCTCCCCCCCCAAAGAAAAGGAAAGGAAAAAGGAGAGAAATGGGGGGCACAGTGGGAGCAGTAGACTGGGCAGATGGCCAGCAAAGTGTTAGCAAGAAGCAGGGTTGTGTGGCCACTGGGCCGCAAGAAGGGGAGGAGCCTGTTGCAGTGAGACTGTTTCTCCCTGCATTTGCATGTGAGTCCTCTTTCCCAAAAGAAGGGGAAGGGAGAGGATGGTACCTGGAGATATGCGCCTAAGGGAGGCCTGAGAGAGACACTAAGAGGGAGAAAGAAAGCCTGTACGTGCTGGAAGGAGGAAGGGACAAGGCCAGGGGCATCAGGGACTTCCTACTTCTTGAGAGGGAGGACAAGGTGCAGCCACCAACCTCTGGGTTATTATTGGCAAATGGGGTTCATGCCCAGGGCCTCGTTCATCCCTCTCACCAAACTCCTGGGCTCGGTGCAGGTGTCTCTGTTTCTCAGAGGGGAAACCGCTCATGAAGAGTAGTTAATAACTTGCCCCTTCTCTCCTGAAAAGCTTTAAAATCAGACCCATCTTTGATTTCCCGCTGGAGGGAAGAGAACAGAAGAATACTGAAATACTGAGAATTAAAGGTGTGGTGGAGAGAGGTTCAGAGAGCTTGTGTCAAATAACTCAGTCCCAGGGATCCACATCACAGTGACTCCGAAGCAGATGGGAGCCCAGTGTAGTGGTTACTGCCACACATGACCCTTCCTGCTGGGTTTGTGCTTTGATGCGGACCTCCAAAACAGTTCTTAACCCTCCCGCTGTCTCTGAGACCGGAGGAAAGAGCGGCTTCTGGTTCCATCTACTTGCTGTCCTGTTTGAAGTATAGGCCTCCCTGAAAAGGGACCCCTCCCTGGTGGCTGGGCAAATGAGAACGTTGCCTAGCCTGTGTGAGACCTTGGGTTTGAGCTCCAGCACTGTAAGAAAAAAAAAAGCCAGACCGCAACACACACCTGTAATCTGTTTTCAGGGGGCTGAGGCAGAAGGATCTTGAGTTAGAGGCCAGCCTGGGTTACTTAACACAGTGATTCCCCCTACAAAACAGCCAGATAGGAACGGGGCCTATGGGGTAGTTCTTCCAGTTCCGGGCTCCTGGTACCATAAGGCGACTGATGTAAGCTGGGAACTGTGCTGTGCACTGCAGATCCAGTGTGCACGTGTGTGTGTGTGCGCGCGCGTGTGTAATTACAGAAGATGGATGTGTTATATAGATATGCACATTTCTAAGATTATTGTCTTTTTCTAGAGAGGAGGGAGCGTGTCTCTGATAGGCAGCTTTTCCAGTCACACAGCTGTGACTGCAATCCAGGCAGGTTGGCCCCATTGCACCTGGCTTGCTTTTTGCCCCAAGGGAAGTGACCAGAGGAAGGAGGGCAGGGTCTGACAAAGATGTGGAAGGGTGGGTTCCTCAGGGCCCAGTTGCTCCTGCCTGGACGCCTGTTGCCCGGGTGCCTGTAGCGTTCCTGCTTCTGTGGGCTCACACTGCCCTCTATCCTCCAGGATCCTCCAAGCAGGCCTGGAAGTGGATCGGCTCTCCCTCAGGAACTTCTTCCATCACTTCCATTCCAAGCGAGGCATGTGGAATCGCCGCCAGATGAAGATGCCATGACCGCCATGGACAGCTGCCTACAGCTCCTTTACTTCCGGTTGACCTCGAGGAGGGACTATGAGGAACAGAAGCCTCGGCGCTCACTGACCTCTCCACCAGGAGCTGTCCCATCATGCAGGGACAAGTGCAGAGGCCCCTCTGCCACCCACTGAGTTGACAGTTGGAACAGCTGCATAGGATGGGCAGTGAGGTCCAGAAGAAAACACCCTCCTGAATAGGGTACCGTCATGAACCACAAGGGTGCATCCCCACGGCCCCGCCCTCCTCATGGGGGGTGTTGACCATGAACAAGAAACTTTAATGGGACAGATTTTATTTGGAGTGGAGACGAGCGGGGGATAATTTTTAACAGAGTGAAGACTTCTGTGTAGACCCAGCACTCACTGGGAGTGAAGCTGTGCATTGCAGCCCTCAGCCCCACTGAGGTGCTGGTCCCATGCGGAGTACCTCAGCTCCAGGCCCAGTCTGTGCCTTTCAAACACACACATCCGTCCTGGTAGTCACTGGACAGCTAGCCGGCCACCGACTGGGTATTAACCCAACTCCTACAGAGAGCGGGTTCTTCAGTGGAAACCCAACATTGGTGGCATCTTCCTACTGCAATGGGGCAGAGTGGGAACGGGTGGGCAGTGGGCCCATTCTCCCCAGTGTCTGACATATGGGCTATGTAGAACCAGCAAGGCCATGCTGGCTGAGAAATGCCCCTTCTCCTTTGGCTCTCCTGCCAGTTAAGACCTGGCGATAATAAGAGACCACCAGAGGTGACATAGGTGACCCTTAAGTCAACTTGTTAAGTGAGAATTTGGGGGGGGACTCAAGCAGGGAGAGACAAACAGAGAAGAAAATGTATACTGTAAGCTTAGCAGCCCTGTGGCCTCGCCCTCTGTGGAGAGAGCCCCAGCTTCCTGACCGACCCTGAGGAGAAGAGGCAGTGAAACCTGGCCGTCTCATAAGGGGCAGGGGGAGGTGGGGGAGGCAAGGCCATGGACAGAAGAACTGAAAATGGTTAGTTTTGGGGACAACAGCCTGTAACCTTTTCTGTCCCCTAATGTCACGTACTTATCTTGCACTAATAGTCCCAGTGCTCTGTGGCTGGGACTTCCTGCTGCTGCTGCTGCTGCTGCTGCACCAGCGGTGCATTCGATGCTGGGCATTAAACCCAGTTGGGCGGGGGGGCAGCGCCTTTCTGCTGCAAGAAAGGACTTGTGGTGTGCAGCAGAAAGGGTTCCACTCCACGGAGCCTGCCTTCCACGCTGTGAATCAAAGGCAACATTTGGAGCTGCAGGACCCACGTGGTGGGCTCTGCGAGTGCCAAGAACAGTTTGGCGTCTGCAAAGTGGTGCCCGCTGGGAACCTGCTGGGCCTTGCCTTTAAGCAGTCAGAAGGGCAGGGCAGTTCTGTCCATGGGCTGTGGCCTCTTCTCATCCCTGCTCAGGCCTTCTGCCCATTAGAAAAGGCACATAGGAAGTAGGCTAGAGCTGCAGCGGGACAGGTGGAGTGCCAGGCTTCTCTAAGGCCATGGACTCTTGGAATTGGGCTGGAAGGCCAGAGCCAGTCCCTGCAGTCCTCCTCCTCTTTCTGAGGACTGGGAACCCTCCAGGCCTTGCCCACCCTGCTCACCACCTTCCTCCCAGGTCTAGTGCCTTGTGTTTGATGTCTGTTACCTCCTTACCGTCTGCCTTAAGGGAAAGGAAGGTGCCGTGGGTGGGGAGAGGGCATTAAAGTCAGCATCTTAGAAAACAAAGGGCTGTTTTCCTGTTGCCCAGGAGCTGGGGGACAACACTGGTGACCCTCAGCTGTTTGCTCAGCGACAGCCAAGGACTGACTTGCCGTCGGCCTCGGTGCTTGCTGACACCATGCTGCCCTGATTGTGTCTCACAGTCTCAGCAGCCCAGGTTAGAGGAGGTCACGACCTCACCTGGAAAGGCTTCCCCGCCTGAAGAAGGCTGTCTGGAACAGTGCAACCGTAACCCCAGCACTTGGGAAGCTGAGCCATGAAGATCAGGTGTGCAGGGCCAGCCTAGACTACCTAACGAGAACCTGCCGAAATAAAGAAATAAACAAATAAATGGAAAAGTTTTTCTGAGTGGTTTGAAGGTGCCCTATTAACGATTTGCAGCTGTGAATTGGCCTTCCTAGTTATGTTTGACCTAGGCAATTTTTTTTAACTTTGATTTTTCAAGATTTTTAAAAGTTTATTTTCATTTTATGTTCATTGGTGTTTTGTCTGCGTGTATATCTATGTGAAGGTGTCAGATTCCTTGGAATTGGAGTTACAGACAGACGTGAGCTGCCATATAGATGCTGGAAATGGAACCTGCGTCCTCTGGAAGAGCAGCCAGTGCTCTTTATCACTGAGCCATCTCCCCAGCCCCTATTTTTCAAGGTTTTATTTTCTATGTGTGGGTGTTCTGCCTGCATGTCTATCTGTGCACCATCTGAGTACCTGGTGCCCAAGGAGGCCAGAAGAGGGCATCAGAGTCCCAGGAACCGACAGTACAACCAGGTGTGAGTCACCGTGTGGTTGCTGGGAATCGAACTCAGATCCTCTGGAAGAGCAGCCAGTGCCCTAAACCGCTAAGCCATCTCTCTAGTACCCCATTTTTGAAAAAGAGATTTTAAGCCATTTAGTGGTGCCTTTAATCCTGGCACTCCAGAAGCAAATGCAGGTGGATCTCTGTGAGCTCGAGTCCAGCCTGGTCTACAGAGCGAGTTCCACGACAGCCAGGGTTACATGGTGAAATCTTGTCTCAAAAAAAAAAACCAAACTAAAACAAAGATTAAAATTAAGCTTCTTCATTTAGAGTGTGTGTGGTATACGCAGGCTACAGGGGCAGGCCAGAGGGCAGCCTTTCAGTGGTTGGTTCTCCCCAACCCCATACCATATGGGGTTCTCAGGCTTGGCAGCAAACGCCTTTGCTCACTCAAAGTTTGCATTTTCTCACCAGCTGAAAATCTGTATTCTTAAAAGACATCTAAGAAACACCGTTAATGTGGGAAGTACAGTAGGTTGATAGTGGAGTCTTTAAAACTCTGTGTGTTCATCAGTCCAGCACCTGTTTGTGAGGTGCAGATGGCATAGGCCCCTTCCAGGGCACAGATGACAAGGGCATCCACACACCAGCCTGGCTCAGAGCCCACATGACTGGAGACAGCAAGACTAATTTGGTGGCTTTTCAGACATCTTTATAGATAGGGAAGGGAAAATTGAGGCTTGGAGCAGAGGGGAGGAATGCAGTGGAACCAGAGTCTGCAGGCCGTGTGGACTGCCTGAGCAGACCCAGTTACTGGTGCTGGAGGACAGGGTGGCCGCTGCAGATGCTGAGCTCAGGCCTCCAGACCAAGATGCAATCACATCACCCGGTAGAACGGCACAACTCAGTTCAGGCGCTGCAGGCAGGAAGCAGGGGCATCTTCCCTGCCCCCGAAACTCTCCTGGAGGCTGTGGAAGATGCTAGTTAGCCCGACAGGTCAGGGCCAAAGGCTGAGGCCCTTCAGGCTCAGTTCCTGTGGGGAAAGTAGACAGACAAAATGAAAGGGCAGGGCCGAATGAAGCTCCTCAGACTGGATTTGCACCCAAGTCACCAGGGGAAGGAAAGAATGATGTGACTCAGCGGCCTGAAATGCAGTTTCCAGGCGTCTCCAGGGAGCACTGTGGATGCTGCTGCTGGCTCTTGGGCCCAGGTGGCAGTAGCAAGCAGTGCTTGGCTAGGACACTGCAGGACAACACCAACGAGAAGCCACAGCTCCTTTTCTTCCCAACAGGCCACAACAGCCACTAACCACATTGGCCTTCTACCCTGTCCCAAATTGTGGGGCAAAAAATATCCCTAAAGACGGCCGGGGTGTGACACACCTGTCACTTGTGATTACACAGGGACTTTAAGTCTAGCCTGGGTTACGAGAGAGTCCCAACTGAAGGATCATCACTCCTTCAGAGTGAAGGCCTCACTAAGTCCTCCTCGTGGGACATGTACTGACTTGTGAGGGGCTCATTTTATGACTCAGCACTCATGGTGTGTGTACTGTGGGAGGCCCACGCTTTAAACCAGCACTAATTTTCTGTTGCAGGCAACCATGCATATTAACACTTAATGCTCGTGTACCGTGATTGACTCGTGGATACAACAGCATTCATGGTGCATGTACTACAGGAGGCTTACACGTGTATCTTACCACTCATGTATGTGCTGTGCAAGACCCATCAGCCCTTCAAGAACCGCCTTATCCAAAGGTCTGTAGACCTTCTCCCTTGGTGTGGGGAGGGAGAGCCCTCTTATTCCAATGGCCAAAGGCAGCAAAGGTCAGTTGTGAGCCCTTGGATTTGAGGCCCTCTGGGCCTCCACCTCACCTGGGACCTAGGCAGGGATTAAACAGGATTGCTGGAGGTCCTGGCAGCCGTGGAGCCTGTCTTGTGTGCCCCGAAAGCGGTGATAAAAATGTTGATGACCACAGTAGTGAAGACCAAGGACGTGGCAGCATTGCTGAGCTGATTTAGACGCCATTGGTTCCCTACCTCATTCAGGTTCAGCCTGGCTGTGGAGACAAGATCAGGTGGGTGGTGGGTGAATCTAGGGCTGAAGCCTGGAGCTTCCCTCTCCCCACCCAGGAACTTGGAAGCAGCCTGGCTTTAGAGACTGGGAAGACATCAAATCACTGGATTGAGATGTGTGTGAATCTTCTGACCGGCCTAAGAGGCAATTTACATGGTGCTCACAGAAAGGGGTGAGGAGCAAAGACTTTGTCGAAGAGAGGAAGGGTGCTTACAATATAAGACCACCACCGGCCAGGCGGTGTTGGTGCACGCCTTTAATCCCAGCACTTGGGAGTCAGAGATTGGCAGATCTCTGAGTTCAAGGCCAGCCAGGTCCAGGGCAGTTAGGGCTGCTACACTGAGAAACCCTGTCTTGAAAAGCCAAAAGAAAAAAAAATAGACTGGCCTGGTGGGGTCAGTCATTCAGCAGCTGTCGATGGATGCCCATCGATGGGATATGAGGAGAAAGGACAGGAGCTGCCCTCACTGTAGGATAGAGGACTGGCTCTGTCAGCAGGACTGGCTGGGAAGTTTCATGGGCATGCCGGGCCCTTTCCTACCACCAGGGGGCACCAAGGCAGAAAGTCTGACTGCAGGCTGGGCTTACCAATGACGACGAGAAGAATGCCAATGACAACTTGCAGGAGCAGAGAGACACTGATGAGGGCTATGAGGGTGGCGTAGTACTGCGAGGATGGCCCCTGCTCCAGCACCACTTTCAGCCGCGTGGCATTGGACATGAAGAGCGCCACATCCAACATGCTCTCTGCCACGCTCTTCTTGGTGGCATAATGGTTCAGATTGAGAGGCTGGTGCCCTCTGGAGATGGAGTGCCCGTGCTGTAAGAGAGGAGATTCTGGTGAAGGGGCTGGGAGGGAAGGAAGGGCTTTAATATCCTTCCCAAAGGAGATGGAATGTCCTCCCGGGTGACAGAGACGGTGTCCCTGTTCAGCTTCTGACCTGAAAGCAGCGGAGGGTTGGATAGATGAGCAGGTGAGCAGAGGATGAACTATTGGATGAATGGATTGGGGATAGAACCTCTGGACCACTAAGCTCCGGATTAACTAATGTTGCCTTGTGATACCTACTTCACAGAGAGACGCTGGTCCCTTACACCTTCACATAGTCAGATGAACAACAACAACAGAAGGAGCTCTGAGGTCTTCCAGAAAGGCTGGACCTATCCTAGCCAGAGCCTTGATCAAGACTCCTAGAACTTCAACCCTGCTCCAGCACACACTGATTGTCAAACACGGGCTGTTAGAAAACTCATGTACACAGCAGTGCATATGAGCTGCAAGTTCTTAATTTTAAAAACCGTTTGGGGAGACTGGGGATGTAGTTCAGTAGTACCCTGCTCCACAGCACACCCAAGGCCTTAGTTTTAATTCCTACCACTGCTGAAATGCATTATTATTAGTTTGGATTTTCAAGACAGGGTTTTTCTATGTAACAGCTTTGGCTGTCCTGGAACTCTCTCTGTAGTCCAGGCCGCCCTTGAACTCTCAGAGATCTGCCTGCCAATGCCTTCTGAGTGCTGGAATTAAAGGTGTGTGCTACCGCTACCCATCTAGTAAATTATTTTTTAATTATCTTAAAATAAAATTACTTTTGAGGTATAAAATAAAGATCTCCCTAAGCCACTAACTCCAAAAGACAAAACCATAATATAGGCTGTATGTAAACCTCTGATTTAGACCAGGAAAATCAAGTCCCCTCTCTGCTGCAGAACCTCCATAGCCGGCCACCCAAGAGGACTTGGGAGATCAGTTTAACAATGGTGCTTTGGGCATTCGGAGCTAGAAGAAGCCAGAAGCAGGGAGACTATTGCAGTGTGGTCCCGTAGGGCATGGTGGTGCCCACCTGTAATCCTGGAACTAGGAAAGCAGGGTGTCTTAGGGTTTCTGTTGCTATGAAGAGACACCATGATCTTATAAAGGAAAACATTTAATGGGGTGGCTCACTTACAGTTCAGAGGTTCTGAGGGTTTTGTTTGTTTGGTTGGGTTTTTTAGCCTATTTAATCAGAACCTTGGGGCTTTCAAAGAAGCCAGGTGTGGTAGCTCACATCTGAAATCCCAGTACTTGAGGACAATTGCTGTCAGGAGCCATTTCCCCCTATCATTACAGGAACCATCACCCTGGGGAGTCTGCAGGGACCCTCACACCCATAATTATGTTCTATTGACAGAATCTGCCCCCCCCACCCAATTAACTGTTAATCTGTTAGCAGAACACGCCTCACATTCCAGCTACCCAGGGAACCAGGTGTGGCAACTTGTGACTTCCTGGCCTATCTATCTGTCTGAATGTAACCTGGCCTATGTGACCTGGAACATGCGGCAAGAATCCAGTTACCCTACCCCCCATTCCTTACCATATATAAACTGTAACCCGTCCCTAATAAACGGAGGCTTTGACAAATCTGCTTAGCCTCCTTCTTCTGTCTTAGCTCATTCCCTTCCAGGTAGCACCCCTCCGTGACCCTGGAATAACTAGCTGCAGGGTGGGTTACAACCCCTAGACTAGTGACCCACCCAAGGCGGCAACAAATTGCCATGAATATAAGGCCAGCCTGGGCTAAATTGTGCCTCAAAAATAAATAGGACTGAGCCGGGTGGTGGTGCATGCCTTTAAACCCAGCACTCGGGAGGCAGAAGCAGGCAGATCTCTGTGAGTTCGAGGCCAGCCTGGTCTTCAAGAGCTAGTTCCAGGACAGGCTCCAAAGCTACAGAGAAACCCTGTCTCGAAAAACAAAAAACAAACAAACAAACAAAAGGACCGGCTAGATGGCTCAACAGCTAACATGCTTGCCACACAAGGCCTAGGGAGTCTGATACCTGCAACCCACTGTGGAAGGAAAAAACCCACTCCTGAAAATTGTCCTGACATCTACACATGTGCCACGGCATGCATAATAGACACACGACAACAACAAAAATTTAAAGTATACACTAATAAGTGTATCCAAGATGTCCTAAAAGTCTATTTGGAGTTGAATACAGTGGCTAAGTCTGTAATCCCAATACTCAGGAGGCTGAAGCATAGGTTCACTTGAAATTCAAGGCTAGCCTGGTCTACCTACAATGAAGACACAAAACACTTCACACACAAACTCAAACTCCCTCCTTTTGTTTGTTTTGGGTTAGTTCTGGTTTGGTTTAATATATCTACTAGATAGGCTCTCTCTATTTATAGCCCAGGCTAGATTCGAACTCACCATCTTCTTGCCTCAGCATCTTAGGAGATGTATGCACTCCATCCAGCTTTAAGCAAGTTAGGAATGCATGAGAGGCGGTGGGGAGAATCAGGTGCACAGCTTGGCCAGGGCATGAGACTGGAGATCCATAGGAACTCCTCATTAAATATACATAGCACACCTGCTAAGACAACTTGAGGCTGAGTACCCCGCCCCCCCCCCCCCCAAAATTAGAGCAGGCAGTCACCATCCATTCAGGCCCTGGGCTTGACTCACTGTGCTACAGGCTGCTCGCCCCAGGCACTGATTACTAGTTGTTTTTCATGGCCATCAAAATCAGACTGAAGGCCCCATGGGTGTTGTTCGGTTAGGAGAATGTTTACCTAGTGTCCAGAAAGCCCTGGACTTGATTTCCCAGGACAACACAAATGGATCCTGGTGACATATATTTGTAATCCTAGAGGTAGACAGGGGTCTTGACTGGGTTTGTTTGCTCTGCCAAAGACTGAAAAGGAGGCAAGGCTGTAGTGGCGCACGCCTTTAATCCCAGCACTGGGAAGGCAGAGGCTGGCGGATCTCTGTGTGTTCAAGGCCAGCCTGAGTCTACAGGATGAGTTCCAGTACAGTCAAGACTACACAGAGAAATACTACCTCAAGAAAAAAAATGAGGGAAAAAATAAAAATGAAAAGATAGGAAAAATCTTGAGCTCAATAGGTAGCAGCAGAGAAATCTCAAAGAGCACAGACAACCAGATAGCATCAGTAGTTGAACAGAGGCCTTTAACAAAGGTGAGGAGACCCACACATAGGGCAGACGCTCAAGAAAAAGACCCTCTGCAAAGCAGAGGGAGACTCAGAAAGTTGAGAACTCCAGTCTTTTCTTCTCCAAACTCTTCTCTGAAGAGTTTTTCTTCCCTAATTTAGGGCTGATCAGTTCGAAGAAAGAAGGGCTGAATTGGTCCGCCACTGCTGCAGAGCAGAGCGTGGGAGGGTCTATCTTAAGCTGGAGCTAGTTCATCAGTGGGGGCTGCTGGTGGGAGAAAAAGCAGGTAGGAGACGGAGCTAGACAAAGTCCCCAGTAGGCAGGCAGACAGGGACAGGGGCGTGGCTAGGTAATTCCATCAGGGAGTCACTCTCCAAAGGCAGAGGCAGGAAGATCAAGTTCAAGGCTGCTTGAAGACTTGAAGTTCAGATCCTCAGCGCTCACATAAGAGCCAGGCATGGGGGAGCAGAAACAGGTGGATTCTGGAGTCTGCTGGCCAGCCAGCCTAGTCAATCCAGGAGCTCCTGGTGTGGTAAAAGAATGGCTCAAATAGAGCCAAGAGTGATAGGGAAGATGCCCAACTTTGAACCCTGACCTCTACAAGCATGTGCATGAACATTCCATTGCCTACACAAATTTAATTAATCTACAAAATGTTCAAATATGTTTTATTTGAACATTTGGGTGGCCCCGGTTGCAAATAGAACATTTATCCTTCCCTGAGCTCTGTGGAAAAGAGAAGGCAAAGAGATGCATTTTGAAGGCGATGTCTAGGGGTTAAAATAGCATCCTGCCAATTGGTGGTGGTCCACACCCCTAATCCCATCAGAGGAGGCAAAGGCAGGCAGATCTCTGAATTCGAGACCATCTTGGTTTAGAGAAGGCATTCCTGGACAGTCAAGGCTACACGAAGAAGTCCTGTCTCAAAACAAACAAAAAACCAACCAAACAAAACATCACCTAACTCGCAACTGTTAGAAAATAAGTTAATAAAATCCTAGGTTTCTCTTGAACCCCTGAGTTAGAGCAGCTCCCAGCACCTTGGATGGCTGGCTTTCTTTTGTTTGCAGGGGGTGAGGAGGAAGCCCCCAGCTGCTCCTCTCTCCCTTCCTGTGCTGTGATCTTTTAGTGATAATACTTACTTTGTAGCCATGGCTGATGACATTGTATCAATAACTACAACTGCTAGAAGCGGCTGGGGGAAGGACCAGGGACACTCCAAGGTGGTGAACCTGTGCCCAGAGCTGCTTTAAAGCCAGAGGTGCGAGGATGTCTTCCTTATCTGTAAAGCACTTTATGAAATTCACATTTACAAAACAATAAAGTCAATTCAAACCCCCAAAACAAAAAATAAAAGTGAAAAGTGAAGAGATTGGCTCAGCTGAGCACTTGCTGCTCCTGCAGAAGACACAGGTTCGGTACCTGGCACTCATGTGGTGGCCCACAACCACCTTCAACTCCAAATCTAGGGGATCCAGTACTCTCTTCTGGACTCCCCTGGGAGCCTGCAAGCACATGGTGAACTTAGATACGTGCAGAGAGACAGAAAACACACACAGACACACATACACATACACACACGAACCAGAGTCTCACTACTTAGCCCCTGCTGTCCTCGAACTCGCTATGTAGGCCAGGCTAACCTTGAACTCACAGAAATCCACCTGCTTCTGCCTCTGGAGTGTTGGGATTGAAGGCATGGGCCACTCTTTTTTTAAAAAAAAATATTTATTTATTTATTATGTACACAATATTCTGTCTGCATGTATGCCCGCACACCAGAAGAGGGCACTAGACCTCATTATAGATGGTTGTGAGCCACCATGTGGTTGCTGGGAATTAAACTCAGGACCTTTGGAAGAGCAGGCAATGCTCTTAACCATTGAGCTATCTCTCCAGACCCATGGGCCACTCTCAAAAAAAAAAAAAAAAAAAAAAAAAAAAAACAACAACAACAAAAAACCCAACCCAACAAGCCAGAAAAGTTCCAAGTCAACCTCTGCTATGTAAGTTTGGTTTTATACACCCTGTCCCCCCACAAATCAGACTAGGCTTCAGAGGAAGCCTAGAGAATAATAGAGAGAGAGCTGTAGACATAGAAGGCACGGGGTAGTCCTGTCTTTCTCTGACCTTTTCCCCCATTGGATTTTTCTGGGGTTTGGCTTGCAGCCAGTGCTGAGGTTGTGGAGGTGGTGACAGATTGGGGGTGAGGACCTGTTGGACTTGGAAAGCCACTCCCTCACCCACAGCTTTTATAAATGAAATTCAAGCAAGTCTCTGTGTATGGTCAGCTGGCCTGGCTAGTTAAAAGTCAAGGATCTCAGGGCTAACTTCACAAAGGCCAATGGTCACTTGGGTCACAAGGTTATAGTCCTGGCCCACTTGGTAAAGGCCTGTTCTGAGTCATGAAGGACACCCACAGATAGCTCACCTGATCAACATCCTCCTATAGGCTGCCCCCCACCTCCTCCTCCCCCCACCCTTGCCCACACTGAGCTGATACCCACCCGCTCCCAAGCCCCTCCTTACCCATCCTCCAGTACCTTGTTCCTCCTCCCAAAGGCAGCTCACTCGTGGTTCAAGAGTTGCTAGACTGGGCTAGCTCTAAAAGCTTGCAGTGGGCAAGCCTTAATTCAGCCTTCTAGCCATGTGTGCACACTGACCGTGTGTGAGGCTAGGAGGACAAAGGGGTACTGGAATGGGTGAGTACCTCTTTCCAAATTTCTGCAAAAAGTGTTGTAATTTCTCAGCCCCCCCCCGCCCCCCTTCCCCGGGCGCTTGTCTCTGTGTGCATTGTATTCACACGTGCACATCATGTATTCCACCACTGGGCCACGTGCGGCCTCCCTGCCTTTTGCTGCTGTCTCTTTAAGAGCCTGTTTTAGAGAGGATGTGGGACTCCCTGTAGGAGGAGGTGTAGGCCTGTTTGAATTTAGGTCTCTCACTTTCATTTTGCTTTCCTGGGCTCCTCTCCGGAAGGACAGCTCTCCTGTGTCCACAGGGTGGCATGCGAGGTTTAAAGAAACTGCTTGGGTACTGGCTGTCAGGGTGCTCTTTCAGCCCCAAGGAAGTGCCTGCCACCATATGACAGGCCCAGATTGTTGAGGAACCCAGGGACCTGAGCCTGAAGACAACACAAGGGAATAGCCTAGAACCTACCAGACACCACCGTGAAGGGACAGCTAAAGACATTCAGTGCTGATGGAACCTGGTGATACTGCCTGCAATGCCAACACACTGGAGACGGTGGCAGGAGGAATGGGAATTTCAGGCCATCCTGGGCCACACAGCAAGATAGCAAACCCAAACAAAACAATTTAAAGAAGCCAGGTCAGGGTGGGCTGATGGGTGTGGGGACTGCAGTGGACCTGGAGCCTGGGGAGGGAGGAGGAGTCAGAGGCAGCTGTGATGAGACCCTGGAGGAAATGGCTTTGAGGAGGGTTCCCTCTCTGGATCTTTGCAAGTGAGGAAAACATTTTCCCTGCCTTCCTGGGCCTGAGGATGGGATTGGCTGTTCCCCTGAACCCTGCAGTAAGACATCCTCTTCTCCTGAGCCCCAAGCCCACTACAACTCCATCAGGGATCTGGCTAAGGGAGGGGGATGGGAGGGAGGCCAGTGGTGCCTCAGATCTGGCCCTTTAAGGTCAGAGCCCAGGCGGGTCAGAACAAAGGCCCGGGAATGTGGGCTGGATCAGGGAGCAGAGCCATCCAGTGTGACTCATTCATGTTTCATGGACTCAGAATCCCTGGCTCCTACTTGCCTCGGCCTTTCCCATGGCCAAGGGACAGCACTCAGGGCCTGTCTGCAGAGCTCACACCAGGTGACTCCCATCCAACCCAAACCCTGCTAGGGAGGGTCCATGAGCCTGGGCTCCTGGCTTTGGGGCTCAGTTCTACCCAGATTGTGGGTAGATAGGAAACTGAGATTAGATCAGGAGGAAAGCCAGGCCCATGGAGGAGAGGCAGAAGGACCCTTCTTCCCAGAAGTACAAACAGAACCCACATTGTTCTCTTCCTTTCTTAGTCTGAGATCTGCCTCCCAGTGCCCATCTCTCAGGGGCTCGCAGAGGGCCTGCTCTCTTTAGCCCTGTATTTTCATTTAGTAGTAGTGGGACACTGAGTCTAGGGTCCAAGAGGCCCTGTTCTAGGCACACAGCCCCAGAGAATCCTGCCAGCCAGGGAAACCTGGGAACCGAAAGGCCACTTGCTGTATGTAGTTGGTGTGAGTTGTAACAGCGGGCTGCAGAGAGAGTAGGGGTAAAAACTCAGAGGTCCATTCTGGGGCCCCGAGTACCTCCAGGACCTGACAGGATATGGGCTTGTGATTGGGATGGGTAGGTAGAGGGTAGGCACACACCAAGGACCTAATTCCCGCCCCTTGCCTCGCCTTCCCCCTTCCAGTTTACAATCCCTTAGCCCTCTTGCCAGACCCTATCTGACTCCCAAGATTGGGGATCCCTTCAAGTCAACCCCATTATTCAGCCCTTCATCTTTGTTGTTCTGTATTCTTACTTCTTTATAAAGCTAACGTGGTCAGGAAGGGACTGCCTCTTTAAACCGAAGAGTAAACATGTTGTCACATGGTTTATTGACATTCTGGTTATCGGGGACTGTGATATCCACTGGCTCATTCTGCTTTTTCTTAGAAACAAGATGCTGTCTCACAGTGTGTGTGGGGTGGGTGTGTGTGTCCTGGAAGCTGGATAAGTAACTGTTCTACCAAGAGGCTACAGAGGACCTAGAGCCCCACAGGGTGAGCACTGCCAGGAGGTGCAGGAAGCTGAAGGAGACCTGGGTCCCCCTCCCTGATCTCTCTAGCTGAAGTATGAGCAGGCCAGCTCTCCCTGGAGCCGAGTTCTTCTTAGCAGAACCATCTAAGAACGGGGAGGCCCCCTCCTCTGGGCGGAGAGTTTCAGGGTTGAGGATATCTGCTGAGAGGAATTGAGGCCAGGCAGCTGTGGGGCCAGGCAGGGTAGAGGCAGTGAATCACTTTGCCCTATGCAGCTCCAGGCGCTGGTGACCTTTGGGTGAGTCACTGCCGTCAGTTTTGAGAAAAGCCATGTGGGCAGTGTTTCTGTGTGTCAGCTCAAACTCAGGTTCTGCACAGAGTAGGCCCAAAGGAGCCGTGACCAATGACGACCTTTCAGTTGGCCTCAAAATGGCAGTCCACCCAGGAGTCTAGAAAGATGGTGGCGAATGCCAGGCTTCCTGATTTCCCACCCCAGGAAAGGGTGGGTCCAGCCCAGGCAGAGTGCTTGTTTAAATAATGACTTCAGGAAAGTTTTTCTACTAACGGGTTTTAGGGTTTTAGGTGGGTGTTGGAGCGTCTGCTGGCCTGTCAGAATTGAGCTTGGGAGGACGATGGGCCTGCCCCATTGTCTTGTACACGTACTGGAACCATGTAGTGTAGCTGTGTGTAGCATGTAGTGTAGCTGTATGTAGCATGTAGTATAGCTGTGTGTAGCATGTTGTGTAGCATGTTGTGTAGCCTCGGCTCCAACAATCCGGAACCGCGCCGCTCATGGTTATGGAGGACATACCTAGCATCTGGCACCGCACTAAATACAGGACATGAGTCAGCTGGGCTCTCATTTAGTTCGGCAAAGGAGGTGAGAACAGTCACCATCTAGTGAGCAAAATGCAGAGAGCCCAAGCAACTCGCCCCAAACCACACAGCAACGTTTCCCCCATCTCTGTACTGGGGTCTGCAGTTTGACTGATCCACTACAGTGTCCCAGAAGCTAAAGCAAATTACTTCAGTTCTAATGATAAACACGGGAGTTCTGTGTGGAGTCGCATGTCTGTAACCTCCGCACTCAGGAGGCTGGAATACAAGGCAAACAAGGACAACCTGGGAAAGAAACAAAATGAAGCAATGGACTCTAAAGCTGAAATACGTGGCCTGAGATGAAAGATGGCAATCCCATAGTTTGGGAAGGGCACGCTGCTCAGTGGAAGTCTAGCCCTCAGCCCCAGGGAAGCTTGCGCCAGGCTTTCCTGAGTCTTCACGGGCTGTGTCCCCAACCCCTGCATTGTTGTGGGAAGATAGGACATAGACGTGAAGGTAAACCTTGGATTCAAAAATGGTAAAAAGGAAGCTGGCTGGTGGTGGCACACACTTTTAGTCCCAGCACTCAGGAGGCAGGGACAGGTGGATCTCTGGAGGCCAGCCTGGTCTACAGATCAAGTTCTAGGACAGTCAGGGCAACAGAGAGAAACCCTGTCTGGAAAAAGAAACAAACAAAGAAAGTTAAGAGGGGGCTGAGGAGAGAATCTGGGAGAACAGGGTTGACCTCAGCTTCTTTGGCTGTGAGATGGGAACGTCCGTCCTGTTAGCTGTGAGCAGCTGCAGCTGAAGAAGGCTTGCCTTTATTCACAGGGCCTAGGGTTTGACAAAGGGGAGGGAAGGAGGAGGAGGGAGGCAGAGAGGAGGCAGCCCCTAGCAGGGGCGGGGAGAAGAGGAGGAAGATAGGTCCTTGAGAAATACTGAGCATACTCAAGAGAAGCAGGACAACCCCCCAGCTCAGGATTCTACTCCCACGTGTGGTTCGACAGGCATTTTAAACAGTCTCTTCTGCCGCAGGGCCTGTGTCCCAGCTTAACTTTTGGTGTAGGCACCGGTTAGCTTTTTCACAAGCCCCAGGGACTTGTAACGTCTTTCTCTACCACGACTCTCTCCACGCCCAAGCCCTGCCATACTACACCAGCCTCCCAAGAAAGGGAATGCTCACACAAGCCCGATGACACCACATCCAAGGTCCCTGTTCCTGCACTTGGGCTGCAGCCTTCTCCCTACAGCCACTCACCAGTCTGTCTCCTACTCCTCTCTCCACCCTTCCCCATGGGGCCGGCTGACAGCTAACCGTCCTGGAGGCTCTGCCCGGGCCCCAAGCAGGATGCTCAGAAGCAATGGCATACATTACTCACTGATCTCTGAACACACTCCACCCTTCCCGCCTGTCTGCCCTATGCCCATGGGAAGTGTCCTCTCTTCTAACCTCTTCCCCACCAAGAACACCTTACCAGGTACTGACAAGCTCTGCCCCCTGGCTACACTGGCCTTTGGTCATCTTTAAGCCTCTAGATGGCTCCCTCTGCTGTGTCTTCCCCATCCCTTTTGGGACAAGGGCTCACTGCATAGCCCAAGCTGGTCTTGAACTTAGGACTGTGCTGCTTCTGCTACCCTGATGCTTGGATGACAGGCTTGTGCCATCATGTCCAGCTACTCTCTACCCTTTAGATCCTCTCTTGCATATTTTTGGGTTGCACAGCTCAGTGTCTGTAGTGATGGGGCGAAGACCCTCCTACTGCAAGTGTCTTGCTTGTGTTTGGTGTGCAGCATTCTGGGATGCAGAGGAAGGAACTTAGTATCTCAAGTACACTAGCTACACTGTGCTCATCCATCAAGTATAGTCCTAGCCCAGTATTAGATTTTACTGTCTTCAGGTTCTTTAGGGTGAGCCACCAGGGACATCCCCTCCGGGACAGGGAGCAGCTCGGGACGTCTGTTGGAAAACCTGCTCCACCCTAAGGACTGTCTTTTCTCCTCTTGACTCCACTCAGCTGTGACCCTCATGAAGGGCTGATAGGCCCGGTGCTGTCTCTATCTTCAGGCCAAAAACACACGGAAGTGCAGATCTCTGCGGCTCTCGGTTTGGGGCAGGCCCGAGGCCTCCACTGTGCCG